TTGCACGAGGCTTCAGTCAGCGACAGGGAGTTGACTTCTTCCAGACATTCTCCCCTACCCCGAAGATGACTACTCTTCGGGTACTGCTGCACGTTGCCGCTCGGCGTGACTACGAGCTTCACTCTCTTGACTTCAGCACAGCTTTCTTACAGGGCACCCTCCACGAGGAGATCTGGCTGCGCCGCCCACCTGGCTTCACTGGGTCGTTTCCTGCAGGTACCCATTGGAGCCTCCGGCGGCCAGGCTACAATCTTTGCCAGGCGCCCCGCGAGTGGCACGACACACTGAGGACGACGCTTGCAGCTCTTGGGTTTGCTCCTTCGGCTCCTGACATGTCGTTGTTTCTACGTACCGACACTTCGCTGCCGCCATTCTACATCCTCGTGTACATCGACGACTTGGTCTTTGCCACTGCTGACACTGAGGGACTGGCCCTAGTGAAGTCGGAGCTGCAGAAGAGACACACGTGCACAGACCTAGGTGAGCTGCGCAGCTATTTTGGCTTGCAGATCACCCGGGACAGAGCACAGCACACCATTACCTTGACTCAGTTACACATGGTGCAGCAGGTCCTTCAGCGCTTCGACTTCCATTACTCCTCGCCACAGTCCACTCCTCTACCTACCGGTCACTCGCTCTCAGCTCCACCTTCGGACGAGTCCGTAGAGCCGAGTGGCCCGTATCCAGAGCTTGTGGGCTGCCTCATGTACCTGATGACCTGCACTCGACCTGACCTTGCCTATCCTCTTAGCATCCTGACACGCTACGTTGCGCCCGGGAGACACCGACCAGAGCACTGGAAGCTAAGAGGGTGTTGCGCTACTTGTGCAGTACGTCGGGCATGAGGCTCGTGCTTGGAGGACAGGGTCCAGTTGTCCTCACTAGACACGCATACGCTTCTTGGGTTGACAACTTGGCTACGCAGCAGTCGTCACAGGGTTACACTTTCTGCCTTGGCTCCGGCTCCGTTTCGTGGCGGTCTACCCGCTCGTCTTCTGTTCTCAGTTCTAGTTGTGGGCCATGGCTGCACAGGAGTTCCACTGGCTTACCTACCTGCTGACCGACTTGGGAGAGCCGCCTCGTTCTCCTCCAGTTCTGTACGTCGACAACAAGGCCATGATTGCCTTGTGTCAGGAGCACAGACTGGAGCACAGGACGCTATGCATTACTTCCTTGCTTGAGAGTTGCAGCAGCGTGGTCAGCTTCGTCTTGCTTACGTGGCCTCTCGGGCCAACACTGCTGATATCTTCACCAAGGCACTTCAGCCTTGTGTTCATCAGCGTTTCTGTACTGTTTTAGGCCTTGTGGCTACTTGGCCTCACCTGCTCACTTCTTGACTTTGCTTGTACTTGCTAGGTTTTGATTATTGTACTGCTTGTTCTCCATTATATAACTCTACATGTGAACTGGCCTTGTGGTTGTGCTCAGAGTGTGTGGTGACTCCGTGATCCACCCTGAGCTTGCTTTGTTTTTCTTGACTGGTCTTGTGACCTCTTGTTCTCCCCCACTTTGCCTATGGGGGTGTGTCAAACTTATATGTTGCATGTTGTGTAGGCTGTAGTGGGGTAGCCCATATGGGGTACAACCCAATTTAGGGTTAGTACTTGTACCCATCCTGCTGCTAGTTCATTCATTCCTGCTCGTTAGTTTCTGACACGTACTGCCCTAATGGTGACATGGCAGCTGACTTCCTCACGAAGCGAGTTCCTCGTCAGCAGTACCAACATCGCGCGAACCTGATTGGCGTGGTCAAGCGAGTCAAGACTTGTTACGGCCGGGAATGAGGGGGGGTGTTACCATAAGTGAAATATGAGTGTGTTGCACTCATGTTCGTAGCATCTTCGTTGGCGAAAAATGATAATTCTTATGGGTTGTCAAATGCTGCCATAACTATATCGTCTCATGGGTTGTTGGCGCCGCTGCCAGTTTTTGCACGCCAAGGCGCTGCCATCTTTTGCCAGCACAGTCCTTGCCTAGAGCTGAGAAACAAAGGGACGTGTAGTATACGCTCTTGCACGTACTCGGATTTGTGTGGTTCACGGCTCACATCGCAAAGTGCACATCAAGATGGTGCAGGACGAGCCGAGGGTTTCAGGCACCAAGTTGGAAACATGTCTGTCTTGGTTATCAATTCCGTCCTCAATTCTCAATCAGACGAGCCCCTTCAAATTTTCTCGCTCCGACGACTTTTCTCGCTCGACATCACATTATTTCTAGTCATGTAGGGTAGTGCCAAATGTATTTGTTATACTACTTTGTTACATGCGGTACCCTAAGTTGGGGTTTTGCTACTTGTACCCATCTCCTTCATTCAGAGCACACATTCTGCTTATGAAATGGTATCGGTTAGGTTAGTTCCGGACTTCCGCTCACCATCACCTAGCCTAGCCTGCCACGCACGTCGCCCCTAGATTGCCTCCTAGACCGCCCGCCAGCTCTAGCGCGGCCAGCCAGCCTTAGCGTGGCCAGCCGGCCCTAGCACCAGCATGCCAACCAGCCCTAGCGCATTGCAGCGTGCCCAGCAGTGCGCACAGATACGTGTACATATGCGCAGCGGCGCGTGCACTCCTGCAAGCGAGCCTGTACGGCGGCGTGCTGTTTCGAGAGTAACTGAACGATAATGTTGAACTAGGATCATGCAGGAGTACAAATAGCAAACCTAAGATGTAAATGTGATATACTCATGATAGAGTAACACGACCTAGCATTTAGCTAACAAAAAAAAAAAAGGGACGCACCACCATAGGCTAGGTGACGGACAGCTCAACAGCATGCAGTCCAACCACTGAGATTAGCGGTTACAAGACCGGACAACGATAACAAGCAAGGCATGTAATACAACCCATGGTGGTACAACCTGCGAGCCTCTAGGAGAAATAGCCACAAGGCCAGTTCATATTTATGTTATCACAAACAGGATCAGATATGCAAGGAAGGACTAAACCAAGCGAGGACATGCCAGAACAAGACCAAGATGCTTGCAGAAAGTGTGATGATCACCTAGCTAGAATGCCTTGGTGAAGATATCTGCAGTGTTGATCACAAGGACCATGCGTGCCTGGCGACGCTCCTGCAACTCACGCAGCAGGAAGTACCACATCTAAATATGCTTCACCCTTCTCTCCTGTCTCGGCTCATGATACAACAGGATCGTGTCCTTGTTGTCCGCAAATAAGACCAGGGCAGAACAAGGTGGCTCGCCTAAGTATGTGAGCAAGAAGGCCAGCCAACATAGCTACTGCGCAGCCATAATACCAGTATAGGTCTCAGCCTCAGCACTCGACGAGGCTATACACGACGACCGAGTCGACCTCCACAAAACAGCTCATGTGCCAATGCTAAATAATTAGCCCTTAGAGGACCTGCGAGTCTCTGCGCAGTTGGCACAAGCCCCATGCCTGATGTACTTGCCAGATATCGCAGTACCCTCTTAGACAGGTTAGCGTCTCCTTGTCGACACAATGCGAGCAAGGATGCTGAGAGGGAACGCGAGGTTTGGACGAAGGCAGGTCATCGAGTACATGAGGCACCCACCAGTTCTGCGTACTGATCACTAGGCTCAGTGACGGAGCATCAGTTGAAAGCCGAAGAATGCAGATCCTTTGTGAGGAATTCCGCCAGCTGCTCAGTGGTCGGGATGTACTCAGAGCAATCTTCTTGCGTTTCACCATCTGCACCAGCCAGATATAGCGATGCTCCTTTTGCTTGAGGTTGCACTTGATCCCTAAGCCTTCAGTAACCACGATGGTCGACTGGTTGTCCACGTTGAGGACGGTTGGTGTCCCAGAGTTGAGAAGCTGGAACTTGGCGAGGAGGAAGCGAAGGCGGCGAGCCTCCTTGCTGGCTTTAGTGGCATCGGTGTACTCCGACTCGGTTGACGAGAGCGTCACGCACTTGATGCGTCACGCACTTGCTGGCTTGTCCAAGAGACAGCTGCACCGCCGAAGACATGAAACGTAGCCATTCGGCTTGCTCTGCGTCTGCTTGTCGTCGGCATTTTTGGCATCCGCGTAGCCAACCAGACGCAGGGATTCGGATCCGCCGCTTAACTCCAGGGCGGCGTCGCGCATATCAGCCAGGTAGCAAAGCATCTGTCGACTTCAAGCCAATGCGGGCCTCTCCACGCCGTCAAGCTGAAGCCTAACTTGCTGCACGCGAGTCGACCTTCTGCCGATGCTCCTCTTCATCTTGCCCCTAGAAGTCTTTATCGTCAGATGTCAGTTTGGCGTAGGCGTAGCAAATTTCACGCGGGAAAAAATTTGCATCCACTCCGGCAGACCTGAACATGACGGGAACCGCGAGGATGCAGCCTTTCCAATCTCAAAAACTTCCCGCCGAAACCACACTGGTATCAGAAGTTTACCACTCGCGATTTGAGAAAAATGGGATTGGGACACAAGTGTCCTCGAAAGAATGTGCCCTACGTAACACTGGAAAATAAGCCATTTCCTTCCGTGAAGGCTGCGAATCAGCCTTCTTTCTTGTGGGTGGCTGATCTGATAGATCTGCATCCCTAAAATTGAATCAGATGGCCTGCTGGCATCGCCTTCGGGTTTCGACAACCCCGGACCCAGCACCCAACCTTCCCGATTCCGCCGATCCCGCCTAGTTAGCCTTTCGCTATATCTGTGCTAAAGGCTTCATTATTCTGACAGCAGTTGTAATTTCTTCTACGGTATCAAATTTTGCGCAACCTTGACAATTTATGAAGCCATTTACTTTGATGTCAGGCTTTCGGTTTTCTGTTTTCTTTATGCAGGCATTCATGTTTTTTTCAGGCAATGTGCTTCAGATGTCCCCTTCTCCAGAATTACCATTACACGCTTATGGCCAAACAAGGCAATGAGCGAGCGTAGTGCCAATATCACACTATCCATTCGTCACCTCCCATATTACAGTCTCTCCGCAATCATCACTGCCACACCATATTTCAACGCCCCTTGCTGCTTCACGAATCACAACCCGTCACCTTTCTTCACCGCTCTTCACCGCTCGTCACCTCACCGCTTGACCTCCCTAATGGGCAGCTCCTTGGCGCCTAGAGTGGCGTCGGCGAGTGAGTGGAAGCAGAGGTACGGTGACACCAGGTCGTTGCACTGGGGGTTGGGGGAAGGGGGGGGGAGAGAGGCGGGGAAAATGGGGGGGAGTAGGTTGTGGGGTATACGGGAGCACAGCAAGTTGGGAAGGGCATCGGCAAGAAAGTGGAAGCAGAGGTACGGTGAGACCAGGTCGTTCACTGGGTGGTTGAGGAGGGAGACAAAGGCAGGGGAGAGCAAGAGAGAGCGCTGGAAAATATGAAGAGGGGAGGTGAGATGGGAGAGATGAGAAAGGAGGAGAATTGAGAACAGAGGTGGGAGAACAGAGGTGGGAGAGAAATTGAGGTGCAAGGTGATAGTGAGAGGAGGGGCATGAGTCAGGGGGAGGAAGGAAGTGTGCAAAAGGAGGAGCATATTTGTAAAACTTCCGAAATTTACCAAAAGTGACATGTTGACATGGTGCAAAAGGAGCATGTTGACATGGTGCATTCCAGTCACATTCGAGAATTCTCGAGACTGAGGAGAAACGCAGGTGGATGTGCAATATGATTCCGTACGTGAGGAAAAACGCAGAACGATAGGTGCAAGAATGCTCTGACCAGGAGCAGCGGAGAGGGCAGGTGGAGGTGCAGAATGAGGAGGATTGAACTTACTAGGAGCAGCGGAGAAGGCAGGTGGAGGTGCGAGATGAGGAGAGTGTCGACGTGGTGCATGCGGGCGAGTGGTAGTGGCGCCACCACGTGTGCCACTCCCCTGCTGGCGTCCACCCCCCTCACCACGCCTGGTGGTGGGGACGATGAGAACAGTCATCAAGAGGGGTGGCATTGTGGGCTGGGCAGCAGGACGAAGAGTGCATGGAGCAGCGAGAGGGCAGACAGAGCATGCATATGTGTCGCCACACCACAGCCCCGCAACCATCCATGCCCCTGAACACGTCTGGTGCTGGTGATGATGAGTCGGGTCATAATAACGGTCATAAGCACTGACGGTGAGAGAGATTCGGGTGCAGTGAGAGTGCAGAGAGCATATCATCTATCCACGTAGGAAGAGGAGAGAGGGGGGGGGGGGGGGGAAGGGGTGCAATGGGAGTGCAGGCCATGGTATGATATGAATGAAGGGTGGTGGAGATTGTGGGAGAGCAGAGGGGTGGGGTAGTACCGAAGGAGAGGCAGGGCAGGAGAGCGGCTTCCTGGGGGTTCCAAACCACATGTGGGAAGCCTGGCGCCGCCCCTGCTGCTGCTCCTGGTTCTGCTCCTGGCACTGCTGATGTGTTGTTCTCTGCTGCTGCAGCTGGGTCTGTTGCTATGTCCATCTCCGCTGCTGCTGCATCAGTTGCTGCTTCTGCTGCTTCTGGTGGTGGTGCTGGTGGCGTCGCTGCTGCTGGAGTAGCAGCAGCATGGGCAGAGGCGGAGGGGTCAACGGGCAGGGAGGGCGGAGGCGGCAGGGAGGGGAGAGGGGGAGGGGAGGACGAGCAGAGGCCGACGATAGCGGCATTGAGGGCGATGAGCGTGTTGGCAGGGGACAGCTGTGGCGGGGAGGGGGGCGGGGGCACGGGAGGGGGGGGAAAGGGGGGGATTGCGAGGGTGGGAGGTACGGAGGAGGGAAAAGGGGAGGCAATTGAGACGATGAGGGCAATGAGTGGGTTGCCGGGGAACAGCTGCAGGGGGTAAGGGGTCAGGGGGAAGAAGTGGAGGGTTGGGTACGGAGGAGGGAGAGAGAGGGGGGGGTGTGAGGACGTTGAGGGTGATGAGTGTGTTGCCGGGAGAGGGGGAGGGGCAGGAGGGGGGTTAGAGACGGGGAGGGGATGGAGCAGGGGAATGAGGCGAGGAGGGTGTTGGAGGGGGAGCAGAGGCCCACGATGGAAGTGTTGAGAGCTATGAGCATGCTGGCAGGAGAGAGATGTAAAGGGGGGAGAGACAGGAGGGGGCGAGGAAGAGGATGATCACGTGGGGCAACAGGGGAAAAGTGGGAAGAAATGAGGAGTTGAGGGGAGTCTAAGAAGGGAGAGGTACAAGGCCGGTTGACGGGTCACGTGCATCAGCCCACGTGCATCAGCCCACGTGCATCAGCCCACGTGCAGGTCCTTCAGGTCCACCTTCAAGCCCTCCTCATCTCGCCATGCCCTCACATCCCTATTCCCCCCTCACCTCGCTGCATCAGCCCCCCTAACCCCCCTCACCTCGCCATGCGCGCAGCCCACGTGCAGCTCCCCCAGGTCCACCTCGAAGGGCGCCCGCCACGCCAGCAGGCGCGCACAGCGAGCCATCTCCCACCGCTCGTCAAACGGGAACAGGAAGATGGGCGCGGGGAGCGCGGGCGAGGGGCGCGAGGGAGGGCAGGACGCAGGGGGGGCGGCGGAGGAGGAGGGAAAGGTGGAGGAAGAGGGAGGGGCGGTGGAAGAGGGGGCGGTGGCAGTGGGTGGGGCGGGGTGGGGGGAAATGTGGCGGGCGAGCTTGTAGAGGGCGAGGCGGCGGGAGGGAGAGAGAGCATGGCGGATGGCTGCTAGCACCCGCAGACTGCGATGCTCGTGTGCCACCCGGTAGGAGTTGCTGGGAGGGAGGAAAGGGGAAGGGGAAGGCATAAGAGGGGAGAGGAGAGGGAGGTTGAGGGCATAGGGAAGAGGGCATAGGGAAGAGGGCATAGCGGATGGCTGCTAGCATTCGCAGGCTGCGATGCTCATGGGCCACCCAGTAGGTGTTGCTGTGGGGGTCCTCCTCACCTCCCGCACCCCTGGTAGTAGCTCCCCTCAGACCGCAGCCAGCCAGCACTGATAGACAGCAATGTGACGTTTGAGTCGCCTTGAAACTGCCCTCCCACCCTCCTCACGACTCACCTCACGCCAGGTCCAGCGCTGGCAGACAGCGATGTGATTGTGATTAATGACGTGCGCACCACTGCCCCTGCTGCTGCTCCCCCCTGCACTGCTGCTGCTGATGCTGCTACTGCTTCCACTCCCTCTCCTCCCCCATCTCCTCCTCCTCCCCCCCCCCAAACCCCTCCCCCAGCTTGTACCCCTGCACCTCCACCCGCACCCCCCACATCGCCCCCCTCCCCCTCCCCATCCCACTCCCCTCCCACCCCCCCGGCGCCCTCGCCACCGCCCCCCACGCCCCCCAGGGGCGTCATGTTGGGGTTGATATCCTCGGGGGCGAACCCCCCCGGCTGCCAGAAGTGGCCGGCAGGCAGGTTGTCCGCAGCGTCGGGTGCGAGCAGCGAGATGACGTGTGTGGGCGCCACGTAGCGCATCAGATCCACCAGAGCATCATACCCGATTCCTGGGGGAGTGAACGCAAGGGGGGATGGAGAAGGGAAGGGCAGGGAGGAACAGGGTTTCTACAGAGATGACGTGTGTGGAGGGAAGAGCAGGGAGGCAGGGCAGGACGGCAGGGAAGGAAGAGCGTGGGGTCAGGCAGCGAGATTGACTCACCTTTGATCCACCCGTGTGTGTTGATGACCAGTGGTAATGCCCCCGCCCCATGCCCATCGTAGTAGTTCAGTCGGAAGCAGTCGTAGAGCGAGAAGAGCTGCCGCAGGTACAGCGCAGGGTCACCGCCTGGGCTGATGTCGCCGTACAGATGGCTTGCCAGGGGGGTGCGCTGATGCAGTGCAGGGTGGCCTGTGGTGTGGGTGGGGGAAGGGAAGGCAGCAAGGGGACAGGGAAGGAGGGGAGGGACGGCTGATGTCGCCGTACAGATGGCTTGCCAGGGGGGTGCGCTGATGCAGGGCGGGGTGGCCTGTGGTGTGGGTGGGTGGGAGAGAAAGCGGGCAGGTAAGGGACGGAGGGAGGGCTGATGTCGCCATACAGGTGGCTCAGCAGGGGAGCCCTCTGGTGGAGTGGAGGGTGGCCTGTGATGTGGAGGGGAAGGGAAGGCAGCAAGGCGGCAGGGAAGATGGAGGAAGGGGGGCAGGAGGGGAGGGGAGGGATGGCTGATGTCGCCGTACAGATGGCTTGCTAGGAGGGTGCGCTGCTGCAGTGCGGGGTGGCCTGCAGTGAGTGCGATTGGGAGTGAGAAAGGGGGAAGAAGGGGTGGGTGCAGGAGAAAGGGACGGGTGATGTCGCCGTGCAGTAGGCTCCCTGGGGGCGTTTTCGGATGCATGGCTACGTGGCCTGCGGTGTGGGTGTGGTGGTGAGAATGCATGGAGATGTGCCAAGGGAGGGCGGTGTGAGAAGGCATGACTGGCAGAATGTGAATCAGAGAAGGGCAAGGCAGGTGTGTACGTGGGCTGTGTGCTGACGCGTGAGAAGTCTGAGAGGAACAGCATGGCGAGAGGAGTACAACTTAAAGGTACGAAAGGAGGGACCGACGGCGGGTGCGAGAGGATGGGGGAGAGGAGGATGAGAGAAGGGGAGGTGGAGGAGAGGAAGGGAGAGGAGAGAAGAGGAAGTACCAAAGACGGGGTGCGAGAGGAGGTGCAGCGAGACGATGCCGGGTGGAGTGAACTCGGGCTGCCCCACGTCCGTGTCCAGGAAGGCCACACAGGGGTGCCTGATGGGAGGAGGAGAGTGGACGGTGGGGAGGGGTGGGAGTTGGGGTGAGGAGTGGAAGGGGCGGTGAGCAGTCAAAGGAATTCGGGCGGTCCCACGTCCGTGTCGAGGAAAGCCACACAGGGGTGCCTGGTGAGGAAAGCCACACAGGGGTGCCTGGTGAGGAAAGCCACACAGGGGTGCCTGGTGAGGAAAGCCACACAGGGGTGCCTGGTGAGGAAAGCCACACAGGGGTGCCTGGTGAGGAAAGCCACACAGGGGTGCCTGGTGAGGGGAGAACGGGAGGGAAGGGCGGGAGGAAGACGGGGGAGGGGTAGAAGTGGTGGGGGGGAGAGGGCTGCCCCACGTCCATGTTCAGGAAACGTTGGGAGGTGGAGGGTGAGGGGAGAATGGAAACGTTGGGAGCAGGTGGGGGAGCAGCGGAAAGCGGGGGAGAGGTGGTGAGGAGAGGAGTGGCAGAGGACCGGGGAAGCAGGAGCTGAAAGGGATCCAAGTGAAAGCGTGCATGCATGCCCACACGCAGCACATATGGCAAAGGTCGGTCGCTTCACCACATGCGAAGCAGCATGTGGTTGACCACCCATACCTGCCCAGCATGTGGTTGACCACCCATACCTGCCCAGCATGTGGTTGGCCACCCATACCTGCCCAGCATGTGGTTGGCCACCCATACCTGCCCAGCATGTGGTTGACCACCCATACCTGCCCAGCATGTGGTTGACCACCCATACCTGCCCAGCATGTGGTTGACCACCCATACCTGCCCAGCATGTGGTTGACCACCCATACCTGCCCAGCATGTGGTTGACCACCCATACCTGCCCAGCATGTGGTTGACCACCCATACCTGCCCAGCATGTGGTTGACCACCCATACCTGCCCAGCATGTGGTTGACCACCCATACCTGCCCAGCATGTGGTTGACCACCCATACCTGCCCAGCATGTGGTTGACTAGGAACTTGGCAAACGTTGACTTGCCAGTGTTCACGCCACCCATCACCATCACTATGGGCACCCGCACCTCCCCGCGCGCCCTCCTCTTGCTGCGCTTCCTCCCGCCCACCACAGAGCGCCCCGCCTCCTCCCACTCGCGGCTCACCACATCGCACCGCACCGCCTCCCACCCCTTCATCTCTGAGTTCGTCAGCACCCGCCCCTCCTGCCTCCATGGCCCTGCCGCTTGCTGCCCTCCTCCTCCTCCTCCTCCTCCTCCTCCTCCTCCTCCTCCTCCTCCTCCTCCTCCTCCTCCTCCTCCTCCTCCTCCTCCTCCTCCCCCTCCCCCTCCCCCTCCTCCGCCTCCCCCTCCCCCTCCATCTCCCCCTCCGCCTCCCCCTCCCCCTCCCCCTCCCCCTCCCCCTCCCCCGCCCCCGCCCCCGCCCCCTTTCTTCCCCTTAGGCGGGGTCCACGAGAACGCCTCCCAAGCCCCACGGTCCCCCTCATACCGCTTTCCCCCTTTTTTCCCCCTGGCTCTACCCCCGCTCCCGCCACCCCCCAGCCCCTGCCCGCCCTGCCCATGCCCCCGGGGGGGCACTCTGTGAGTGTGCAGCCCGCACAGGAAGGCCGCCTGGAGCGGTTTTCTTAGCCGCCCCACATCTCTCAGCCTCAGCAGCGGTGTGCTCGGCTCCTGGGGGAGTGGCGGTGGGGGGAGAGGAGATGGGTGGGGGAGGCGTGGTGTAGATTGGCAGAGGGGAAGCACTCTGTGGGTATGCAGGCAGCCTGCACAAAAAGGCCGCCTGTAGCAATTTGTTTTGGCCGGCCCACATCTCTCAGCCTCAGCAGCAGCTTGCTCGGCTCCTGGGGGTGGGGGAGAGGGGAAGCGGAGATGGGTGGGGGTGTAGAGAGGCGGAGCGGGGGCATACAGTGACTGTGCAGCCCGTGCAAAATTTGGGGTTTCCTCATTTGCCCCGCATTTATTTATCAGCCTCAGCAGCGGCGTGGTGGGGAAGGTGGAAAGGAGAGGGGAGCGGTGGTGGTGAGGCAAAGGGAAGGAAGGCACTCTGTGAGTGTGCAGCCCGCACAGAAACGCCGCCCGAGTGGCTTCCTTAGCCGTCCCACATCTCTCAGCCTCAGCAGCGGTGCGCTCGGCTCCTGGGGAGTGGGGGTGCCATGAGGGGGACAGTTGGGCACACTGTAAGTGAGGGGGAGGGACATGAGAGGCAGAGGACGGGCACACTGTAAGTGTGGAGGCCGCACAGGAATGCCATCTGAAGTGGTTTTCAGCCGCCCCACCCCGTCAGCCTCAGGCAGGGTTTGGGGGGAGAGGGCAGCAAGAGGAGGCGGATAAGGAGAACGATAGAGCGATGGTAAGGGGATGAAGCCAATAGTAGGGGTCATGGTGGTGGTGACAGGGCATGGTGGTGACAGGGCATGGTGGTGACAGGGAATGGTGGTGACAGGGCATGGTGGTGACAGATTATCATCCCACTCGCTCACCACCACCCTCCTCTCACTAGCAGCCACATTCCCCCACGGAGAACCCGCTCCCCCACTCTCGCCCTCCTCTCTCACTCACCACTCTCCCACTCTCACCACTCTCACCAACCCCTCCCCACCCCCTCTCTCACCAGCAGTCGGAACGTGAAGTTGGCCGTGACTCTCCAATCCTTGGCCGCCTCTGTCGCCACCGTCACATCATCACCCCCTTTTTCCGCCCGCACTGCCTCCCCCTTCTTTCCCTTACTCCCATCCTTCCCTCGCTCCACCTCACCATCCCCCACAGCACCCTCTCCCACCGCACCCAACCCCAGCTGACCGGGTCCCCAGGACTGGAACAGCACCACAGCCATACCCTGCACGTCTGTGCGCCACCCCCGCTCCGCCTTCTCCCGCCGCTTCCTCTCCGCCTCCGCCTCTGCTGCTGCCTTGGCTGCCTCTTTCTTCTGCTTCTTCGTCAGCCTCGCGCCCTTCCCCCCTGCCCCTGCTTCCGCCCCTCCCCCGCCCTTCCCCACTGCCACCACCCCATCCCCTCCCTTCCCCCCCTGTGCTGCGTCTGCAGCACCAGCCCCCGCCTCGCCAGTCACTGCAGCCACTGCAGTTTGTGCAGCGGCAGCAGGCTCAGAAGCTGCAGCAGCACCCACACTCACAGCAGCAGCACCGCCTGCAGGAGCAGAACCAGGAGCAGCAGCGGTAGGAGGGGCAGCAGGGGGGCCATGCTGGGCAGGCGGGGCGACGTGGAGCAGCACGGCGGAGGAGAGGGTGGCGTCAGCAGAGAGGGCGGTGGGGCGGTGCAGGGACAGGGCGAAGCCGTGCAGAGAGGCAGCGCCGTGCAGCAGTGTGACGTGCACGTGCCCCTCCACCACCACTGCCTCGTCCGGGAAGAGAATGGCCGTGGCGGAACGAGCGGTGCTGTGCGGTGGGGTGGGAGGAGGATGGGATGGGGAAAAGAGTGTAGGAACAGAGATAACACACGTGCCCCTCCACCACCACTGCCTCGTCCGGAAAGAGGCAACGAACGAATGGTACTGCGCGGTGGGATGAGATTCAAAAGGGCGATGGGGAATGGATTCAAAGGAAGGGCGCAAGGACAGAGTGTGGGAACAGAGATAATGCAGGACGCAGGATGGCAAGGACCGTGCGGTCCAAGTGGGGAGTGCTCTTCCTGCTGCTATGCAGATTACATTTGACCAGATTACAGCACATGACCACATTTGGCCAGATTACAGCACATGACCACATTTGGCCAGATTACAGCACATGACCACATTTGGCCAGATTACAGCACATGACCACATTTGGCCAGATTACAGCACATGACCACATTTGGCCAGATTACAGCACATGACCACATTTGGCCAGATTACAGCACATGACCACATTTGGCCAGATTACAGCACATGACCACATTTGGCCAGATTACAGCACATGACCACATTTGGCCAGATTACAGCACATGACCACATTTGGCCAGATTACAGCACATGACCACATTTGGCCAGATTACAGCACATGACCACATTTGGCCAGATTACAGCACATGACCACATTTGGCCAGATTACAGCACATGACCACATTTGGCCAGATTACAGCACATGACCACATTTGGCCAGATTACAGCACATGACCACATTTGGCCAGATTACAGCACATGACCACATTTGGCCAGATTACAGCACATGACCACATTTGGCCAGATTACAGCACATGACCACATTCGGCCAGATTACAGCACATGACCACATTCGGCCAGATTACAGCACATGACCACATTTGGCCAGATTACAGCAGCACATGACCACATTTGGTCAGATTACAGCACATGACCACATTTGGCCAGATTACAGCACATGACCACATTTGGCCAGATTACAGCACATGACCACATTTGGCCAGATTACAGCACATGACCACATTTGGCCAGATTACAGCACATGACCACATTTGGCCAGATTACAGCACATGACCACATTTGGCCAGATTACAGCACATGACCACAGTTGGCCAGATTACAGCACATGACCACAGTTGGCCAGATTACAGCACATGACCACATTTGGCCAGATTACAGCACATGACCACATTTGGCCAGATTACAGCACATGACCACATTTGGCCAGATTACAGCACATGACCACATTTGGCCAGATTACAGCACATGACCACATTTGGCCAGATTACAGCACATGACCACATTTGGCCAGATTACAGCACATGACCACATTTGGCCAGATTACAGCACATGACCACATTTGGCCAGATTACAGCACATGACCACATTTGGCCAGATTACAGCACATGACCACATTTGGCCAGATTACAGCACATGACCACATTTGGCCAGATTACAGCACATGACCACATTTGGCCAGATTACAGCACATGACCACATTTGGCCAGATTACAGCACATGACCACATTTGGCCAGATTACAGCACATGACCACATTTGGCCAGATTACAGCACATGACCACATTTGGCCAGATTACAGCACATGACCACATTTGGCCAGATTACAGCACATGACCACATTTGGCCAGATTACAGCACATGACCACATTTGGCCAGATTACAGCACATGACCACATTTGGCCAGATTACAGCACATGACCACATTTGGCCAGATTACAGCACATGACCACATTTGGCCAGATTACAGCACATGACCACATTTGGCCAGATTACAGCAGCACATGACCACATTTGGCCAGATTACAGCACATGACCACATTTGGCCAGATTACAGCACATGACCACATTTGGCCAGATTACAGCACATGACCACATTTGGCCAGATTACAGCAGCACATGACCACATTTGGCCAGATTACAGCAGCACATGACCACATTTGGCCAGATTACAGCACATGACCACATTTGGCCAGATTACAGCACATGACCACATTTGGCCAGATTACAGCACATGACCACATTTGGCCAGATTACAGCACATGACCACATTTGGCCAGATTACAGCACATGACCACATTTGGCCAGATTACAGCACATGACCACATTTGGCCAGATTACAGCACATGACCACATTTGGCCAGATTACAGCACATGACCACATTTGGCCAGATTACAGCACATGACCACATTTGGCCAGATTACAGCACATGACCACATTTGGCCAGATTACAGCACATGACCACATTTGGCCAGATTACAGCACATGACCACATTTGGCCAGATTACAGCACATGACCACATTTGGCCAGATTACAGCACATGACCACATTTGGCCAGATTACAGCACATGACCACATTTGGCCAGATTACAGCACATGACCACATTTGGCCAGATTACAGCACATGACCACATTTGGCCAGATTACAGCACATGACCACATTTGGCCAGATTACAGCACATGACCACATTTGGCCAGATTACAGCACATGACCACATTTGGCCAGATTACAGCACATGACCACATTTGGCCAGATTACAGCACATGACCACATTTGGCCAGATTACAGCACATGACCACATTTGGCCAGATTACAGCACATGACCACATTTGGCCAGATTACAGCACATGACCACATTTGGCCAGATTACAGCACATGACCACATTTGGCCAGATTACAGCACATGACCACATTTGGCCAGATTACAGCACATGACCACATTTGGCCAGATTACAGCACATGACCACATTTGGCCAGATTACAGCACATGACCACATTTGGCCAGATTACAGCACATGACCACATTTGGCCAGATTACAGCACATGACCACATTTGGCCAGATTACAGCACATGACCACATTTGGCCAGATTACAGCACATGACCACATTTGGCCAGATTACAGCACATGACCACATTTGGCCAGATTACAGCACATGACCACATTTGGCCAGATTACAGCACATGACCACATTTGGCCAGATTACAGCACATGACCACATTTGGCCAGATTACAGCACATGACCACATTTGGCCAGATTACAGCACATGACCACATTTGGCCAGATTACAGCAGCACATGACCACATTTGGCCAGATTACAGCACATGACCACATTTGGCCAGATTACAGCACATGACCACATTTGGCCAGATTACAGCACATGACCACATTTGGCCAGATTACAGCACATGACCACATTTGGCCAGATTACAGCAGCACATGACCACATTTGGCCAGATTACAGCACATGACCACATTTGGCCAGATTACAGCACATGACCACATTTGGCCAGATTACAGCACATGACCACATTTGGCCAGATTACAGCACATGACCACATTTGGCCAGATTACAGCACATGACCACATTTGGCCAGATTACAGCACATGACCACATTTGGCCAGATTACAGCACATGACCACATTTGGCCAGATTACAGCACATGACCACATTTGGCCAGATTACAGCACATGACCACATTTGGCCAGATTACAGCAGCACATGACCACATTTGGCCAGATTACAGCAGCACATGACCACATTTGGCCAGATTACAGCACATGACCACATTTGGCCAGATTACAGCACATGACCACATTTGGCCAGATTACAGCACATGACCACATTTGGCCAGATTACAGCAGCACATGACCACATTTGGCCAGATTACAGCAGCACATGACCACATTTGGCCAGATTACAGCACATGACCACATTTGGCCAGATTACAGCACATGACCACATTTGGCCAGATTACAGCACATGACCACATTTGGCCAGATTACAGCACATGACCACATTTGGCCAGATTACAGCACATGACCACATTTGGCCAGATTACAGCACATGACCACATTTGGCCAGATTACAGCACATGACCACATTTGGCCAGATTACAGCACATGACCACATTTGGCCAGATTACAGCACATGACCACATTTGGCCAGATTACAGCACATGACCACATTTGGCCAGATTACAGCACATGACCACATTTGGCCAGATTACAGCACATGACCACATTTGGCCAGATTACAGCACATGACCACATTTGGCCAGATTACAGCACATGACCACATTTGGCCAGATTACAGCACATGACCACATTTGGCCAGATTACAGCACATGACCACATTTGGCCAGATTACAGCACATGACCACATTTGGCCAGATTACAGCACATGACCACATTTGGCCAGATTACAGCACATGACCACATTTGGCCAGATTACAGCACATGACCACATTTGGCCAGATTACAGCACATGACCACATTTGGCCAGATTACAGCACATGACCACATTTGGCCAGATTACAGCACATGACCACATTTGGCCAGATTACAGCACATGACCACATTTGGCCAGATTACAGCACATGACCACATTTGGCCAGATTACAGCACATGACCACATTTGGCCAGATTACAGCACATGACCACATTTGGCCAGATTACAGCACATGACCACATTTGGCCAGATTACAGCACATGACCACATTTGGCCAGATTACAGCACATGACCACATTTGGCCAGATTACAGCACATGACCACATTTGGCCAGATTACAGCACATGACCACATTTGGCCAGATTACAGCACATGACCACATTTGGCCAGATTACAGCACATGACCACATTTGGCCAGATTACAGCACATGACCACATTTGGCCAGATTACAGCACATGACCACATTTGGCCAGATTACAGCACATGACCACATTTGGCCAGATTACAGCACATGACCACATTTGGCCAGATTACAGCACATGACCACATTTGGCCAGATTACAGCACATGACCACATTTGGCCAGATTACAGCACATGACCACATTTGGCCAGATTACAGCACATGACCACATTTGGCCAGATTACAGCACATGACCACATTTGGCCAGATTACAGCACATGACCACATTTGGCCAGATTACAGCACATGACCACATTTGGCCAGATTACAGCACATGACCACATTTGGCCAGATTACAGCACATGACCACATTTGGCCAGATTACAGCACATGACCACATTTGGCCAGATTACAGCACATGACCACATTTGGCCAGATTACAGCACATGACCACATTTGGCCAGATTACAGCACATGACCACATTTGGCCAGATTACAGCACATGACCACATTTGGCCAGATTACAGCACATGACCACATTTGGCCAGATTACAGCACATGACCACATTTGGCCAGATTACAGCACATGACCACATTTGGCCAGATTACAGCACATGACCACATTTGGCCAGATTACAGCACATGACCACATTTGGCCAGATTACAGCACATGACCACATTTGGCCAGATTACAGCACATGACCACATTTGGCCAGATTACA